TCTAGCAAGATCAAGGAAATCTTCTTGAACTTTTTCCTCAAATGTAATTTCCAGGTGGTTTATTTTTTCATTTTTTCTCTCAGGAATGTCAGCAATTAATAGGCTTTTACATTTTTAAAAGTTTTTTCCTTATTTTTGTCTGACTGGGTTACTTCAGAAGACATATCTGCAAGCTCTTATATTCTTTCCTCAGATAGATCCTATCTATTAATAAAGCTTTTGATTGTATTTTCTTTATTGCATTGTAGGTTTTGGGGTACATGTGAAGAACATGCAAGATGGTTGCATAGGTACACACATGGCAGTGTGATTTGCTGCCTTCCTCCCCATCACTTATATCTGGCATTTCTCCCCATGTTACCTCTCCCCAACTCCCCATCCCCCACTGTCACTCCCCTATTTCCCCCCAACAGACCCTAGTGTGTGGTGCTCCCCTCTCTGGGTCCATGCGTTCTCATTGTTCAACACCCGCCTATGAGTGAGAGCATAAGGTGTTTGATTTTCTGTTCTTGTGTCAGTTTGCTGAGAATGATTGTTTCCAGATTCATCCATGTCCCTACAAGGGACACAAACTCACCGTTTTTGATGGCTGCATAATATTACATGGTGTATATGTACCACATTTTCCCTGTCCAGTCTATCATCGATGGGCATTTGGGATGGTTCCAGGTCTTTGGTATTATAAACGGTGCTGCAGTGAACATTTGTGTGCATGTGTCCTTATAGTAGAACAATTTATAATCCTTTGGATATATACCCAGTAATGGGATTGCTGGGTCAAATGGAATTTTTATTTCTAGGTCCTTGAGGAATCGCCACACTGTCTTCCACAATGGTGGAACTAATTCACACTCCCACCAACAGTGCAAAAGTGTTCCTATTTCTCCACATCCTCTCCAGCATCTGTTGTCTCCAGATTTTTTAATGATCGCCATTCTAACTGTCGTGAGATGGTATCTCAATGTAGTTTTAGTTTGCATTTCTCTAATGACCAGTGATGATGAGCATTATTTGATATGTTTGTGGGCCTCATGTATGTCTTCTTTTGTCAAGTGTCTGTTCATATCCTTTGCCCACTTTTGACTGGGCTTTTTTTTTTTTTTTTTTTTCTTGTAATTCTGTTTTAGTTATTTGTAAATTCTGGATATCAGCCCTTTGTCAGATGGGTAAACTGCAAACATTTTTTCCCATTCTGTTGGTTGCTGATTCACTCTAATGATTGTTTCTTTTGCTGTGCAGAAGCTCTGGAGTTTAATTAGATCCCATTTGTCTATTTTGGCTTTTGTTGCCAATGCTTTTGGCATTTTGGTCATGAAGTCCTTGCCTATGCCTATGTCCTGAATGGTTTTGCCTAGATTTTCTTCTAGGGTTTTTATGGTGTTAGGTCTTATGTTTAAGTCTTTAATCCATCTGGAGTTAATTTTAGTGTAAGGTGTCAGGAAGGGGCCCAGTTTCTGCTTTCTGCACATGGCTAGCCAGTTTTCCCAACACCATTTATTAAACAGGAAATTCTCTCCCCATTTCTTGTTTTTGTCAGGTTTGTCAAAGATCACATGGTTGTAGATATGTTGTATTGTCTGAGGCCTCTGTTCATCTCCATTTGTCTATATCTCTGTTTTGGTACCAGTACCATGCTGTTTAAATTACTGTAGCTTTGTAGTACAGTTTGAAGTCCAGTAGTGTGATGCCTCCCACTTTGTTCTTTTTGCTTAGAATTGACTTGGCTATGCGGGCTCTCTTTTGCTTCCATATGAAGTTTAAGGTGGTTTTTTCAGTTCTGTGAAGAAGGTCATTGGTAGGTTGATGGGAATAGCATTGAATCTGTAAATTACTTTGAGCAGTATGGCTATTTTTATGATACTGATTCTTCCTAACCATGAACATGGAACGTTTCTCCATCAGTTTGTGTCCTTTCTTATTTGGTTGAGCAGTGGTTTGTAGTTCTCCTTGAAGAGGTCCTTTACATTCCTTGTTAGTTGTATTCCTAGGTATTTTATTCTCTTTGTAGCAATTGTGAATGACAGTTCATTCTTGATTTGGCTCTCTTTAAGTCTGCTATTGGTGTATAGGAATGCTTGTGATTTTTGCACATTGATTTTGTATCCTGAGACTTTGCTGAAGTTGCTTATCAGTTTCAGGAGATTTTGGGCTGAGACAATGGAGTCCTCTAGATATACAATCATGTGGTCTGCAAATAGAGAAAATTTGACTTCCTCCTTTCCTAATTGAATATGCTTTATTTCTTTTTCTTGCCTGATTTTACTAGAACTTCCAGTACTATATTATTGAATAGGAGTGGTGAGAGAGGGCATCCTTGTCCAGTGCCAGATTTCAAGGGGAATGCTTCCAGTTTTTGCCCATTCAGTATGTTATTGGCTGTTGGTTTGTCGTAAATAGTTTTTATTATTTTGAGATATGTTTTGTCAATACCTAGCTTATTGAGGGTTTTTAGCATACAGGGCTGTTGAATTTTGCCAAAGGCCTTCTCAGCATCAGTTGAGATAATTATGTGGATTTGTCTTTGGTTCTGTTTATGTGGTGAATTATGTTTATAGACTTGCGTATATTGAACCAGCTTTGCATCCCCAGGATGATTCCTATTTGATCATGGTGGATAAGCTTTTTGATGTGCTGTTGCAACTGGCTTGCCAGTATTTTATTGAAGATTTTTGTGTCTATGTTCATCATGGATAAAAGCCTGAAGTTTTCTTTTCTTGCTGAGTCTTTGCTGGGTTTTGGTATCAGGATAATGTTGGTCTTATAAAATGATTTGGAAAGGATTCCCTCTTTTTGGATTATTTGTAATAGTTTCAGAAGGAATGGTACCAGCTCCTCTTTGTATGTCTGGTAGAATTCGGCTGTGAACCCATCTGGACCTGGGTTTTTTTGGGGTGGTAGGCTCTTAATTGCTCCCTCAACTTCAGACCTTGTTATTGGTCTATTCAGGGTTTTGGCTTCTTCCTGGTTTAAGCTTGGGAGGTGGCAAGTGTCCAGGAATTTATCCATTTCTTCCAGGTTTACTAGTTTATGTGCATAGAGTTGTTTGTAGTAATCTCTAATGATGGTTTGAATTACTGAGGAATCTGTGGTGATATCCCCTTTATCGATTTTTATTGCATCTATTTGATTATTCTCTCTTTTCTTTTTTATTAATCTGGCTAGTGGTCTGTCTATTTTGTTGATCTTTTCAAAAAACCAGCTCCTGGATTTATTGATTTTTTGAAGGGTTTTTTGTGTCTCTATCTCCTTCAGTTCTGCTCTGATCTTAGCTATTTCTTGTCTTCTGCCAGCTTTTGAGTTTTTTTGATCTTGCTCCTCTAGCCCTTTCAATTTTGATGATAGGGTGTCAATTTTAGATCTCTCCTTGCTTCTCATGTGGGCATTTATTGCTGTATATTTTCCTCTAGAGACTGCTTTAAATATGTCCCAGAGATTCTGGTATGTTGTATCTTCGTTCTCACTGATTTTGAAGAACATCTTTATTTCTGCTTTCATTTCATTGTTTATCCAGTCAACATTCAAGAGCCAGTTGTTCAGTTTCCATGAAGCGGTGCAGTTCTGAGTTAGTTTCTGAATTCTGAGTTCTACCTTGATTGCACTGTGGTCTGAGAGACTGTTTGTTATGATTTCCGTTCTTTTGCATTTGCTGAGAAGTGATTTGCTTCCAATTATGTGGCCAATTTTAGAGCAGGTGTGATGTGGTGCTGAGAAGAATGGATATTCTGTGGATTTGGGTGGAGAGTTCTGTAAATGTCTATTAGGTTTGCTTGTTCCAGGCCTGAGTTCAAGTCCTGGCTATCCTTGTTAATTTTCTGTCTCGTTGATTAATATTGGCAATGGGGTGTGAAACTCTCCCACTATTATTGTGTGGGGGTCTAAGTCTCTTTGTAAGTCATTAAGAACTTGCCTTATGTACCTGGGTTCTCCTGTATTGGGTGCGTATATATTTAGGATCATTAGCTCTTCTTGTTGCATTGATCCTTTTACCATTATGTAATGTCCTTCTTTGTCTCTTTTGATCTTTGTTGCTTTAAAGTGTATTTTATCAGAGATAAGAATTGTAACTCCTGCTTTCTTTTGCTCTCCATTTTCTTGGTAAATCTTCCTCCATCCCTTTATTTTGAGCCTTTGTGTATCCTTGCATGTGAAATGGGTTTCCTGGATATAGCAAACAGATGGGTTTTGGCTTTTCATCCAATTTGCCAGTCTTTGTCTTTTGATTGGGGCATTTAGTCCGTTTACATTTAGGGTTAATATTGTTATGTGTGGATTTGATACTGCCATTTTGATGCTAGCTGGCTGTTTTGCCCATTAGTTGATGCAGATTCTTCATTGTATTGATGCTCTTTACAATTTGGTATGCTTCTGGAGTGGCTGGTACTGGTTGTTCCTTCCTATGTGTAGCGCCTCTTTCAGGAGCTCTTGTAAAGCAAGCCTGGTAGTGATGGAAATCTCTGAGTACTTGCTTGTTTGCAAAGGATTTTATTTTTCCTTCACTTATGAAGCTTAGTTTGGCTGGATGTGAAATTCTCGGTTGAAAGTACTTTTCTTTAAGGATGTTGAATATTGGCCCCCACTCTCTTCTGGCTTGTAGGGTTTCTGCTGAGAGATCTGCTGTGAGTCTGATAGACTTCCCTTTGTGAGTAACCTCACCTTTGTCTCTGGCTGCCCTTAGCAATTTATCCTTCATTTCAACCCTGGTGAATCTGATGATTATGTGCCTTGGGGTTGCTCTTCTTGAGGAATGTCTTTGTGGTGTTCTCTGTATTTCCTGGACTTGAATATTGGCCTGCCTTGCTAGGCTGGGGAAGTTTTCCTGGATAATATCCTGAAGAGTATTTTTCAGCTTGGATTCATTCTCTTCGTCATATTCAGGTACACCTATCAGACGTAGATTAGGCCTTTTCACATAGTCCCATATTTCTTGGAGACTTTGTTCATTCCTTTTTACCCTTCTTTCTCTAATCTTGCCTTTTCATTTTATTTCATTGAATTGATCTTCGACCTCTGATATTCTTTCTTCTGCATGGTCAGTTGAGCTGCTGAAACTTGTGTATGCTTCGCGAAGTTCTCGTGTTGTGTTTTTCAGCTCCATCAATTCAGTTATATTCCTCTCTAGGTTGTTTATTCTCATCTATTCTGGAGGATTTTCCTTCATAATTGCCCTATTTCCTTCTTACATCCTAAGCATTCCTTGCTCTACCTGATCATTTCCATCAGCATACAAAACTGCTATTATATCTTGCAGTAGAGCACAAAGCAACAACAACAAAATTTCTCTTGATCCCATAAACGTTCTAGCAATTTATCCATTTCTGCATTTCCCTTCACTGTGGAAACTTCTCAGATACATTGTTTATACTCACTTAAGAAAGACATGGTCATTCTCCTTTTCCAGTATTCTCTCTTGACCCCATTGTAACCATTAATCCACTAAATGACTTTTATTTTTTGCACTTTCAATGCCCACTCCATTGCCAAATTAATTTCTCATCTTTTTTAATCCATCATCAAGATGTGACAGAATCAATAGTTTCTTCTTTATTTAAAAATTTAATTAGTTGACCTATAGTAATCCCCAATCTCCTGGGACTTTTTCTATACTCTTCCATTGCTCTGTTTTTGTCTTCTTTGATAGTTCTTCCCCTTAACTTCCCTGACTTTCAAAAGTTAAAACACCCTTCTTTCAACTTTAACTTCTTTTCCTTGTTGCATTTACTCCAAAGATTATTTCAACTGATCTAACGAGTTTAAGTTGTATATGCTGATAACTTCTAATTCAAGTGTCTAATTTAGCTCTCTGTCTCAAAACTGTAGGTCCATGTGAAACCATAAAATCAGTATTTCCCTTTGGTTACTAAAGAAACATCTTTCTTAGGTTGGGTTTTCTGGGAAGCAGACTTTGAGATTAAGATTCAGTTTACAGGATCTTTATTAGGGAGTGGTTTGGACATCAACTCCTATTGAAGGGAGGGGAAGAAAGCAGGATTAGATGTAGGGAGAAGTTGAACTTCAATGCAGTTCAAGTAAAACTTTCACCTGACTGCAGGGAAAATTATGGATCTGACATGGCCCTTCAGATTTGTAAGGCTGGGTCAAGGAGATAGGCCCTTTATGTGTCCGCATCGATGTTCATTAGATGTAGGTTGCCTCAAAAAGCAGCTTGAGCTTGGGCTTTCTTCAGATGAGGATTCTTTGAATAGCACTGAGGGCCATAGCATCTCAATGTGCAACATTTCTAACATATAAGGGAATAATCCTTTCATTCCTCAAAGGAAGATGTGGGAGGCATATCATGGTGCTTTTTATCAGGGCATCTACAAATTAATATTTCCCACACTCAGCACTTGACACTCACTTTCTGCTATCTTAAGGAAGACAAGTGGTCCTTCAGCATTTTCCCTACCTAGTAAATGAAAACTTTATCTTTCCAAATTCTTGTGCCAAAACCCTTTAAGTGAACGCTGACCTTTCTCTTCACCCACAGGCCTCTTTTTTACCGGTAAATCAATAAGTATGGTTTGGGTCCAAAGGCACTTCCATGATTCTACCATTTCTCACCATTCCCACTGCTTTCACCCTAACCCTAGCCACCATCACCTACCTCCCACTTAGATTATTACCACAGCTTTCCTACTGGACTGCTCCAGCCCCCTACCTGGCCTCTTTGTGGTCAGTTGCAGGCGACAGAATAATACTTTAAAAAAATGACCTAAGATGACTTTACATCTTTGTAAAAATCCTAACATGGCATCTCAGATTACCCAGGATAAAAACAGATGTCATATTGATACATACCTGACCTCATCTCCTACTCCTCATCCTTTAATTGATTCCATCCCAGCCTTACTGACCTCCTGCAACTCTGAGTAACCCATACCTCTGGAACCATTTTTCTACCTCTGGAACAGTTCACTTGCTGTTTCTACTACCTGAAATGGTCCTTGTTCAGATATTTGCATGACTTAGTTTATTCCTTCCTGTAGGCTTATGCTTGCTTTTCCTTGGAGTGAAGTGGTCTTAGCTACCCATCTTATGAAAAATAATAATATTCCAACATGTTGTGCTTTCTGTTAATTTTATCCTCTTTGCTGTCATGCTCTGTGCACTTGTGATTATTTTTTCTTATATCATCATGCCAAATATTGTATTAGGTCCATAATCACTGAGAGTTTGTTTTATTTGTTACTATATCCCCAGTAACTAGAAGAGTTCCTGGAATATACTATGTAATCGATGAAAAATTGTTGACTGTCATGTGGATCTGATTTTAAGAAAGACTGCAACCAGGCTTTCAAATGGTGTCATTCATGTGTTGCTTTCTCCTCTCTTCTTATTACTTAGCTCTGTGTAGACTTCATTTTCAAGCAGACTCTGTAATGAAGATAGTGATGATAACCATCTTGTTTTTAATTAACAAATCAAAGTATATTGAGGACTTAGTATTATATAGCTTTGAAGTGACATCTAGGAAATGGTGGATTTAGAGTTTTCTAAAATAAAAAGATACTCGAATGACGAAATATAATAAATAACCTGTAGAAATTCAAATATAAAACAAAAATATTAATATGGTTTGGCTTTGGATCACCACTCAAATCTTACTTTGACTTGTAATAATTGCTCCATGTTACGGGTGGGACCAGGTGACAGGTAATTGAATCATGAGGGAGGGTTTTTCTCATGCTGTTCTTGTGATAGTGCATAAATATCATGAGATCTGATGGTTTTATGAAGGGAAATTCCCCTGCACATGCTTTCTCTCTTGACTACCACCATGTAAGACATACCTTTCTCCTTCTTTGCCTTCCATCATGACTGTGAGGTCTCTCTAGCCATGTAGAACTGTAAGTCCCTTAAACCTCTTTTTTCTTTATAAATTACCCAGTTTAGGAATGTCTTTATTAACAGCATGAAAATGAACTAATACAAATATATTATTCATGAAGGAATAAATTTCAAGAAGGAATGTCTTAAACTTTTCTCCAGAGAATTGTTGCTGTCCCAGCAATTGTATGTCTTTACAAATGATGTATTACTATTCTTTCTAAATTAAGGGGTGTGTGTGTGTGTGTGTGTGTGTGTGTGTGTGTGTGTGTGTGTTTGTTGGGAGAAGGACAGGTAGAGCAATGCAGAACAGAGTATAAAAAGCAGGATTTATTCAGAAGACTGTTATGGGGACTCCGGGACTCTCCCTTTGAGAAAGTGTGCATATGAGGGCACACTTGTTCAAATTAACAAACTCTAGCCACATTTCTTCACACTAAAGATATTGCCCAAAGCATACTCACATTGTTCTCAGAAGAGAGACTGCTGTACTGAGGCCACTGAGTGTGCATGTTTTGCTGCCTCAGAGAAGGATGTGGAGTGGGAAAGGGCAGAGAGTCAAGATGAACGTTTAAACCTGCTGATTTAGTTATTGTTTGATCTGGAGTAAACAAAACAGCCTCGGTGATATAGTATCTGCTTCTATACAACAAATATAATAAAATGTATCCCCTCAACTGCAGATTTGTTTTATATGTACATTATTAACCAAATGCTTGTTATACATATTTGAATATGAATTTGGAGAAATCACTACACATGTCCAGTTCCCAGGACCAAACTTCTTGGAAATTCTCTCTCCCTGGCAATTATCAGCCCCTAATACTGCTTTAGACAGCACAAAATATGCTAATAGCAGATGTAATCACTGTGCTATCAGGATTTAGAGTGCTAGAAAAGTTCTGCTGTTTTATTTCATTTCCCAGTAAGCTTAAATCATTTTCAATTTTGAAATACAAAAATTTTCTCAAGGGACCAAAGAAAACTTCAGTCTACATACCTAATCAGCAACAGTGCTCTCCTTTGAAGTCTCAGACATCTGTGAGGCTTCTTGAACTGTAATGAACTGTTACCCCAGGTTTCATATTCCCAGGCTTATTCTGAATTTAGGTTAGTTTTAAATATATTCTCCTAATTTAAAATTGTGGGTTTTTTTCTTCACTCTGAATTTTTTTCTTATGTGTAAAAATGTGTGACATCTACTGGAAATGTTTTGAGAGACATGGGAAATGATGCATTATTAATTAGATAGCATTTATGTCTCTACCTGCCTGAAAACCAAACCATCAGAGCAGGAGAGCACTGTAGAAATCAGTGAATGTGTTTTGAGATGGATAACAAGTGGTTGGTTACAATAACCCTGACTACAGGAAGCATAGGTCTCAGATTTTATGAGATGGTCTCAGTTTCAAAAACTGTGTGTGTGTGTGTGTGTGTGTGTGTGTGTGTGTGTGTGTGTGTGTGTTTTAGTTGAACTTTGTGACAGATAATGCATTTTGAGATTGATTAAAAGCAGTGGATCTCTGCCAGATACAACTTTGACTAACCCCCAATGTGGAGACAAATGGCAATATCTGCAGATGTTTTTGTTTGTCACAAATGGGGACTAGATCCTACTGACAACTAATGTGTAGAGGCCAGGGATGCTATTAAACACCCTGAATGCACAAGAAATCCCCTCTCCAAAAAAGAAATTTCCAGTTTGAAATGTCAGTAGTATCAAACTGAGAAACCCTGACTTAGAGGAATATGATCGCCAGATGAATGAGGTAGAATAAAAGATCTTTATTTTTGTTTTTATTCCTTTGAGACAGTGTCTCACTCTGTCACCCAGGCTGGAGTGCAGTGGCCGCAATGTTGGCTCCCTGCAACCTTCACCTTCCGGGTTCAAGGGATTCTCCTGCCTCAGCCTCCCAAATAGCTGGGATTACAGGCACCCACCACCACATCTGGCTAATTTTTTCTTTTTTTTTTTTTTGTATAGACGGGGTTTTACCATGTTGGCCAGGCTGGTTATGAACTTCTAACCTCAAGTGATCCACCCGCCTTGGCCTATGAAAGTACTGGGATTACAGGCATGAGCCACAGGGACTGGCCAAGATCTTCATCTTTAATAGAGTGTTACAGGCAACCGCTAGGGAATTTTATGTCCTAATGAAGGTATATTTTGGAGTTCTTGGTAAGAGACACTTCAAATACACCTATATTCCCTATTAATTACTGTTTTTTTAGATTTCTGTCATGTCTCTTCTAAAACTGTGAAAGACTCTTTCCGGTTTCCTAAACGATAATCAACTGATACTCCTTCTTCTCTTTTATTCCATCTTTATGGAAATGGTAGAGACCTACTTTTATTCATTCTTTCTTATAAATGACCTGTCAACAAAAGTGTATGACTATAGTAGAAAATAAGAACTTCCATTTGCTTCATGCTAAAAGCCCATTGTATGATCCAAAGTAAAGCTTACAACTTCTACACCTGTTTGAATTGGATAATTTTTGGTGTTTCTTGGTTTTTCCTTTCTCACTGAACAGAGTTAAACTATTATGTTTTCCCAAAGTTAAATTAAAAAAAGACTAATTCGAATTCTGTGTTTGAATGTAGACTGTTTGCTTGGGCAACTATTTAATAGCTTCTGGTATTTTAATAGCAGTAATCACTATTACCTTTAGTAACTTGGCAATAAATGATTCTCACTGTGTTGTTTGTAAATAAACCTCAGAGTTTATTGCATGTCTTGAAGCTGTTTACTGCTTCACATGCTTCCAGCTATTGTTGATTAAAGCTTAAGTATATAAAGGCTATAATTTTTCTGAGATTTTGATAAATAGAAAGGAACAAAAGCCATGTGAAGTATACTCAATAAAGGGCTAATAAGCATCAGTTGGCTAGGGAAAACAGTGGGAAACCCAACTGATCCTATAAAGTCCCTGTGGTATCTATATTTAACTACCAAGAATTAGTTGATTTGGAGCTAAGAAAACAATGTATTTTAAATCTAAAAGTAAGAAATATTTACATTGGAAAAGTTATTAAGAAAACTGAAAAATTCAATTATATGTCTCAGGGTTTCAAATATTTTTTTTAAATCATAGATTCATTACATCCAAAAACAATTTTTAAAAGAAAATAAGGGGGAAAATGTCATCGTCATCTCTGTGATTTCCCCAGTCTTGTATGTGCCTCACCCACACAAAAGAAGAAAGCTTTTTTTAAAGAAAGCTCCAGATTAAAAAACATAAATTTCAGACACAAAGGCACAATTATCCAGCAATAAAAGTGGACTGCGCTCTTCAGCAGTTATTTCTTACCTGCCTCCTCCAAAATAAATTAGTTCATTTGGATTTTGATAAATAAATGGTTAGAAAACACAGCAATACTTGATTGTCACTACAGTGGTCCTAACTTAACCACTATGTACTGAGTGATTTGGAATCAGAAGTTGCCTTTGTGAGTAAAGACAAAAAAATTCAAAGCCTAATGCCCCAAATAACAGGCAAAAAAGACATGTTTATACTTATTTTTCCTTTGTTTACTTATATTTTACCTATGAGTTCACATTAAAACTCCAATTCCAGATACCACACCATTTACTCAAATTTTTTTTCTTTCCACACTTTTATCTCTATTTTCTGATGATTAGGAACCTGCTTCTTACCTTCATTGTATTTACTTACTTAGTAAATGTCACTGGGTGAAACCAGTCTCTTACATATGACCTCATACATGGTCTCCTCCCTCCACTCATGCTCTGACACCACGTCTGGCTGCCACTGGCCCAGCGTAGATGCATCCCTTATGCCACCCACAACCATGCATACAAACTTATTACCAAGTTCAAGGTCCAACACATCACCCTACATGCCACTATAATGATACCCCAAATTTTTCTTTCTTCATTCCACTTGTGTTTTTAAGTTTTCTTTCATTTTTAATTTTTGTGGGGTCATGTATTTTGGGGTTATTTTGATACAGGAATGCAATGCATAATAATCACATCAGGATAAATCGGTTATCCATCACCTTGAGCATCTATACTTTATGTTACAAACAAACTGATTATACTATTTTTTCTGTTTAACCTGTACAGTCAAATTAATTTTTACAATAGTCACTTTCGTTCTAAAAAATACTAGGTCTTATTCACTCTAACTATGTTTTGTACCCATTAACTATTCCTACTTCCCCCTCATGAGGTAACCTGCATTACCCTTCCCTGCCTTTGGGACCATCCCTCTACTCTCTACCTCCATGAGTTTAATTGTTTTATTTTTCATTTCACACAAATAAGTGAGATCATGAAGTTTGGCTTTCTGTGCCTGGCTTATTTCACTTAACGATGTCCAGATCAATCCATGATTTTGGAAATGACAGAATGTCACCTATTAAGGCTGAATAATACTCCATTTTGTGTGCATACCAGAATTTATTCTGACAGTTTCATAGTTTGATGCATTTCATTTTATTTTACATAGTGGGAGATAAGTGTCTAGTTTTACCCTTCTGTGTATGTATATCCAGTTTTCCCAGTACCATTTATTGAGCTTATTTTCCTTCCAAATCTTGGCTATTGTAAATAATGCCTCAATAAACACGGAAGTGCAGATATCTCTTCCATATTCTGACTTTCTTCCTTTTGTGTTTATACTTAGGAGTGGGATTTCTGGATTATATGGTAGATCGATTCATAGATTTTTGAGGAAACTCAAACCCTGTTTGCCATAGTAGTTGTACTGATTTACATTCATACAAACAGCATACAGAATTTTTCTCAAGCAGAAGCCTGTCCCCATGGCCACCACAGCGGGACTGAGTCTCATCTGATCCCAGCACAGTGTACTACCTGTGTATCACCCCTGGTTACTCGGGGACCAAGGGCTTTTTTTCTGCATCAGGCGATGAGTCCTACCAGGATTTCGTTCTTCTCTTCAAGTCGGTTTTCTCTTTTTACCCAGGGTGTATCTAGAAATGTCAGCCAACCCGAAATGGAAGCCTTTATTTTTCCCTCTTCTCTCCTCAGCAGAAGGAAGCCCACTGAGCTGGGAGCTGTGCTGCCTGAGGTTGGCAGAGGGGTTGCCCAAGCACTCCCTTAGCTGCTCCAGCTGTTGTCACCCTGTGTCACATGCCATCCTAGTCCAGTGGGTCTAAGCCCAGCTCAGAACTGGGACTTAGTTTGGGAGTTGCAGTCTCTGTGTCCTAGACTGCCTTTCGAGTTTACCTCGAACCCCAGAGCCCTTTAGCCTGTAGTGGGAAGGTTGGCTGGAACTCAAGTTTCAATTGCGGGATTGGGTTATTCCCTTCTGGCTAGGGTTGGTTTAAATACTCCTTCTGTGAGCAGGCATCACTGAATTCATTGTGGTTTGGCCTTCTGTGGTGACAGAGCAGCACTGAGTTCAATGCAAAGCCTTACAATAGCTGCACTCCCCTCCTCCCAAGTGCACAGATCCTCTCTTCTTGCCGTGTGTCTTCCACTAGGGCATGGGGGAGGGGTGGCATCAGCAATTCAAAATTTTATTTCCTATCCTCATCGGTGACTCTTTTAGTGATATGTATTTAAAATCAGGTACTGTGAGTATTCACCTGATTTTTTCTTGTTGTGAAGGTGGTTTGTTGCAAGGGGATGATTAATGGGGAACCGTCTTGCTCCACTCTTGCTTTGACATCCCTCTATGGACTGCTATCCCACTGACATCATTCCCGTGCAGACACCATCATTACTCTCATCACTCCCCAACTCAACACATGTAACAGTCTACGCAAATGCCCTTGTAACCATCTTTAGGCTTTGAAATCACTACCAAGTCATCACTCCTATTCTGACCCACTCCTAAACATCCTGCTTAACTTCTTTGGGTTCTGACATCCCATTCTAGACATCTTGAATGTCCTCCTTTGCCTTTCTTGGGTTTGGTTACCCCATGCCAGACTGCTGCAGCAAGCCTTTTCCAAGAAAGGCCTACTTGACACAATTTACCTTCTGACACCCTACTCAGGCTCTGATTTCCTGCATTGATCACTGCCACAATACCCCACCTAACCCAGATATTATGATATCATTCAGTCTAGGTAACCCCAAATTAGACTGCTCCTGTCCTCCAACCCACAGGCATGCCCTAGCCCTACTCATCCTCATCAGACTGTAACAACTCTTGCTGGCCCGTCACTGCCATCCTTTGTGGCTTTCCAAAACATCTCATCTTCCAAACATGGCCACATTTGCCTCCCATCCTCTCACATGCCTTTCTTGTTTGACTAGCTCTCTGATACTCCATGCTGTGCATGCTGCTGCTACAAATACTTCTGCATGTTCCTCCCCCTCTAGAGTTCTGATTCTCTCTACCTGACCATAGTCCATACCTGCAATAGAGGCAAAAGGTTATCATGCTAAACCTTATAGTGGCTTTTGAAATTAATTATTCAAGAAGAAAATCAGGAAGTAAGAAGTCAGGAGGTATACATATATTTATGACATTAAATAGATGCAAACATTCAATGTCTCTACAACAGATTTTTACTTTGGATCACAAAATCAATTTTGGATTTTAAGATATCATGTTAATGAAATCAGGTAGTATGCAAGAGAATAGAACATAACAAAATGGAAAATATTGGATTTCATTGTATGTAATAATGGAAATGAAAATTATACCATGTATAAACGTTTGGTTATTAATTCTAGGAGACAGATGAGATGGATGAGAAAGATCGAGGGAGTAAGGAAGATAGGCAAGGTATCCAGGTTTATATAGTCAAATATATCTTCAAATCACCAGATTCAAGATTTCTTGACTTGAATAAATTGACCTCTTGACCCTGGATTATACATGTATTTTACAAAACAATCTTTCAATGTTATAACTGTTTATTTTTTACGCTTAAGCCTTCAAGCTATCTAAAATGTGTTATTGTGTATGTAATGAAATTACTTCTTCTGTGTGATTAAACACTACACAGCATCATATATGAAGGACTTTGCTTTTTCCTAACTAGTTGTACCATCAACGCTGTCTATTTTTGTACAATTTTCTTATGTGTATGGATCTACACTTCATATTGTATGAAACTAATTGTTCAGTCCTATACCACTTGAAGCAAGTCTATTTTTTATGCTCCCTTTACTTTTGTGGCTTCAGTAACAGGAGGAATTCTTTCCATTCTATTTAGCTGTTTCTTGATTTGGGGCTTTATAAAGACCAAGCTCACTCCTATAGGATCCACCTATATTATCATTTCCCCTAGGAAGATATCTGTGTGTTAAGCCATCCCACAACCTGACACTTCCTGTGTTTCTCTCTTGTCCCATCTCTAAGCCACAAGAAACTCGTTAGCTCCAGGAAAACAAATAGATTGCTACTGAATGTGGACAGCAAGGGAGTTGCACTAACTCTATCATCTCTGTGGAATAATTCTTGTTTGTTATTGGCAGTAGTATTAAGATAAAATTCATTTACCCTAAAATCTACCAATTTAAAGTACAGAGTTTAATAGATTTCAGTATATATTCACAGAGTTGTTGAACCATCACCACAATCAATTTTAGAATATTTGTATCACACCATAAAAGAAGGCTGTACTCATTAGCAATCACTCCTGATTTATGCTAGAATCACCATTTCTAGGCAATCACCAGTCTGCTTCCTACATCTTTAAATTTGTCTATTTTGGACACGTTGTTTAGATGTAATCATGTAATATGTAATCCATTGTGTCTGGTTACTTTTCTTTAGCATTAACATTTCAATGCCCATGGTGTAGCATATATTAATATTTAATTATTTTTATTTCTCAATATTTCCAATTGTCTGCATATACTAGACTTTATACATTCATCAGCTGATGGCAATGGGATTGTCTCTAATTTTTGACTATTATGAATAATACTATTAATATTTATATGCATTTTTGTGAGTGAATATAAGTTTTCATTTCTCTTGAGCCGAAACCTAAGAATGGAATTGCTGTGTTTTATCATACTGTGGTGCTTAATATTGAGTATCAACTTGATTGGATTGAAAGATGCAAAGTATTGATCCTGGGTGTGTCTGTGAGGTGTTGCCAAAGGTGATTACCATTTGAGTCAGTGGGCTGGGAAAAGCATACTCACCCTTAACCTGGATGGGCATCATCTAATCAGACTACACGGCAGTCAGAAAAATGTGAAATACTAGGCTGGCTTTGCCTTGCAGTCTCCATCTTTCTCCTGTGCTGGATGCTTCCTATCCTCGAACATCAGACTCCAGGTTCTTCAGCTTTAGGACTCTGACTGACTTCCTCGTTCCTTAGCTTGGAGACAGCCTATTGTGAAACCTTGTGATTGTGTGAGGTAATACTACTTAATAAACTCCCATGTATATATCATATTAGTTCATTCCTCTAGAGAATTCTCATACATATTTTAGTGCCAAGAGTGGTTCTAGAGGAACGGAATATTAAGGATGGAGTTCTTTCACTGGTTTTGGGGTTTCTGCAGTTGGCTGCTTAAATATGTTTGATCCAAAAATGCTAAGGACTGTACTTCTAACAATATGGTGAATACTGAGAGTCCTTGCTGTGAACTGTTTAGAGAGTTACGAAAATAAATGCAATTAACACTCCTGATTCACCAGTCATGAGAGACAAAGAGTTTAGTGACTCTACATTATACTTTTGACTGTATGTGGAGAACCAAGGAACATAATGAAGCTGGTTGATTGCTCCTAAATTCACTGGACAAAGTGGTGATAGAAAAAGATGAACTCAGGGATTCTAACTCCTGGCTTCAGAAGCAGATACTGAGCCTCAAATCTACTAAGATTGCCCTGAGTGAGAATATTAGCTCCTTTAGAGAAAGAGGTGAAATTGTGGAAAATCAGGCACAAGCTCTTATCATGTTAGTGGCTGACCTGCAACAAAAGGTACATGCATAGCCACAGGTGTTTACTGTTAAAGTAAGGGCTCTGACTGGAAAAGAATGGGACCCTGTAACTTGGAACGGGGATGTGTGGGAGAACCCTGATGAAGCTGTGGACAATGAGCTTATAAACTCTGATGAACCTTTTTCTGGTTGGAAGAAACAGCTTCCCCATTCCTATTAGTGGAAACCTCCTCTCCTTGGCCCACTGCCATCAGCCTTTCCAACTTTGAAGAGATAAACTTTGCACAGCCTGAGGCACACAGTGATGGCATCCCCTGAGGCAGTTGCCAGGCAATATAATGATGATTCTACTCAAGAGCCAACCCCAACACTCCTGTTTGCTTCTAACCCTATAACTAGACTAAAGTCCCCGTGGACCCCTAGAGGTCATGTTCAGAGTATGATCCATGAGGAAATTTGCTACAGTCAAAAATAACTGCTTGAGGTTTTTAATTTATATAAGCAGAAATCTGGAGAACAGGCATAGGAATGGATATTAAGGGTGTGGGATGATGGTGGAAGGAACATAGAGTTTGATGAGGCTTAATTTAATGATTTGGGTATACAAGTAGGGATTCCGCATTTGATGTTGTAGCTCGGGGAGTTAAAAAAGGTTCTAATAATTTATTTGCTTGGTTAGCCGAAATATGTGTTAAAAGATGGCCCACTCTGAGTGAGCTGGAAATCCCTGATCTTCCTTGGTTTAGTGTTGAAGAAGGGATCTAAAGACTTAGGGAGATTGGGATGGTGTAGGGGACTAGTCACTTTACACCTACTCATCCCTGCTGGGAGGGTCCAGAAGATAGACCCTTGGCCAGTGCTTTGCAAAATAGATTTGTGAGGACAGCATCTGCATCTTTGAAGAGCCCTATAATTGCTCTTCACTGTATGTCACATCTAACAGTGTGAACAACAGTCACTCAAATACAAAATTTAAATACAGTAGGAATAATTGGATCCCAAGGTGGCAGAGGCCAAGTGGCAACACTCGACCATCAAAGGCAAGGTGGATGTAGCTACTGTAATGGACAGTAGAGGCAAAGCAGCATCAGAATAGTCTGACTCCTGTAGGGCTCTGGCATTGGCTAATTAATCATTGGGTTCCTAGAAGTGAAATTGATAGGAAGCCTACTGCATTTCTACTTAATTTATACAAGCAGAAAACTTCTAGGTCAAATGGACAAAAGACTGATTTCAATTATAAAAACAGAGAATCATAGCCCTTCAATCAATTTCCAGACATGAGCCAGTTTATAGAGCCAGAACCCCTTGAATGAAGGGGAGGCCAGGTTCCCTTGAGGAACAATCCCATTACACTACTGCCAATTTATGTGGTTAATATTTTTCCCATCCTTCCCCAAAGAGACCTTCAGCCTTTTACCAGTCACTGTACAATGGTGAAAGGGAAAAAATCAGACATTTGGGAGACTACTGGACATTGGCTCTGAGCTGAGGTTGATTCTAAGAGACCCAAAACTGTGGTCCTCCAATTAAAGTAGGGGATTATGGAGGTCAGACAATTAATGGAATTTTAGTTCAAGTCCCTAGACCAGGTGCCAGAATGCATAATTGAAATAGAGATACTTAGAAGCTGACAGAATCCCCACGTTGGCTCCCTGACCGGTGGGCTCTTATGGTGGGAAAGGCCAAATAGAAGTAATTAGAGCTCCCTCTACCTAGAAAAGTAGTAAATCAAAAACAGTATCACATCTCTGGATGGTTTGCAGAGATTAGTGTCACTATCAAGGACTTGAAATATACAGGAGTGGCGATTCACACCACTTCCCTGTTCAGCTCTCCTATTTGGCCTGTGCAGAAGACAGATGGATCATGGAGAATGACAGTGGACTATCATAAGCTTAACCAAATGGTGACTCCAACTGCAACTGCTGTACCAGATGTGGTTTTATTGCTTGAGCAAATTAACACATCTCCTGGTATCTGGTATGCAGCTATTGACTTGCCTGATGCCTTTTTCTCCATTCCTGTCCATAAGGCACACCAGAAGCATCAGCCTTCTCAGCCACTGCAGCACAGAGCTGGGGATGATAAGAAATGGTATGGCCTGCATTTCACGGGCAGATACCTTAGTATCAGACTAAAGCTGTGAGGAAGAAGCCCCATATTCTTGAGTACACCTGCATTATTCTGTGCTAGATAGGTTTCTGGAAAAAGAGAGAGGCTGTTGTTTAACTGTCAAAATTTTCACAGTGTTTAGTGAAATTTAGTAGGTTTTATTGAATAAATGCTTTTCTACTTGGCATATATCTTTAGAACAATTTTTAGAGACTATTTAAAAAATTTATTTATCTTATTATGATTATTAATATTATGTTGAGACAATGTCTCACTCTGTTGCACAG